TACTGTAGTCAACTTAATTAAAACGTTATTAACGTGCCTAAACTCAGTAATTCACAATTTCTACGCATGACAACACACTTTGTCCGTGTTTGGCTCTCTCGCCGCACAGTGAAGCGTTCCCGCATTGACGTCACTTCCGGCTTCCCCCAAAACCTCAAAATGAGTCGAAGGAATTTTCCCGCGATGTTCGAAATTATTGATATTTATCGGAACGGTATCGCTTTTTCTTTTTTAAACTGACGGTTCGAGATTACTAGTAGCCCACTATTTCATTGCACAACAGTTGTTGGGTTCGTGTCATAGGCTCTTTAATATCGCAATATCACTTTAATGTCCTGCGATGTGAAAATCGTGCAAGCGCATATCGCGATTATCATCACGACACGATATATCGTGCAGCCCTATTTCACATACATTATGTTTTTGTACTCCCAAGCCCACAGAAAATTAGATTCAACAATCATACAATTTGAATAACTTAACTCTTAAAATGAAGACACTCACAAAGCTCATACATTTTTTTGTTGTTTATTTCTTTCTTCAAGTTACAAGGGAAGCACATTTATTTTTTGCTTTTTAAAAATCAGGGATATCTTAACTTGTATCCTGGAGAAAGGGCTTAAAAGAGGAAAATAAAAACATTCAAAAAAATTATAGGCATCAAATATATGTCTTATTAATAAAAAATACATAATACACTGATGAATCCAGATGAACCAGGCTGGACAGTGGTTTGTTTTTTGTTGCAAACAACAAATTACTGTGGCATCTTGTAGTCCTAAGACCTACATCGACATATATTTGGTGACCGAGGCTAATTAGAGCCATTTTAACGGGGCTGTTTGACAAATACCATTTTAGACATGCTAGTTTTACCAACCTATGTTAACTACCAAATATACCCCTCGGGCAAGAGAGCATGGAAGAGATATTAATTTCCTTTTTATAAAAGGGATTATTAATTGCATTTCTGAATATAATCACATTTCTCTCCAAACAAGAATTAGCCCATTTTAATGGCGATAAAGTAAGATTCAGATTTTTGTTTCCTTCCAGAAATAACACATAATACAAACTCATCTGCACTGCGGTGAATGCATGTTACAAACATTTACCAAGCGTTAAGCCTGCGCTACAACACATACCAGTGTACCATCATAAGATTTAACAGTAATCCGTCACTGGCTCTAGTAACGCCTCCTCCACACATACAAGCACAACCTCCCCTGGGCTAAAGCTCTTAAACTGTCCTCTGAATAGGGAGAAACTTTGCCTGGATTGAACTAATCTGAGATTCACTAGAGTTGAACGCTTTGAAGATTTGTTTTTAAAAATTCTTCTTCTCGCTAGGACTCATTATTCTCGAACCTTGTTTTTTGGGGTAAACATAACTACGTTTCTGGATCCATTAGATTTTGGTCCCACCATTTTGAAAAACAACAGGCTATCAACAGCATGACAAAGAAAATGCGACAGCGTTGAAAGGCTAAAACAAAGAGCACTTCTGTCTGACAACGTAAATCCGCTTTGATGGACACATTTGCATAAGAAGGGGGTTCAGGTGGAGCAGGGGTGCAATATGTCTTTGAAGGATTTGATTCCACAAAGAGTCATCCCACGGACAAAGATGTATTAATTCTCTTCATCGATACAGGACAATTAGTCTTTAAACTACTGTGTTATATAAGTATTAAACAATACATTATGATAGGATTCACCAACCGCAAAAAAAAAAAAAAAACGAACTATCCCTACGCAAGTCAAACACCTATTATAGTTCAACACAAGCAATAGGCAAGTTATTTAGTCCAACAATTCAACAAGGACCTGGATAATCTGCAACAAACCCCGCCCCGGCTCACAGGCGCCCTCCCCATTTCTACAGCTCCACAAAGCCCTACACAACTTTACTTCGGTGTCATGCCACAATATACAAAGATACTCAGAGAATGACAAACACTTTCCTAAAACGGAGAGAAAAAGGAGATGGGTGTTGAAGAGGAGAAGGACTGTGAGTCTTCTTTTGTGATCTATTCTCAGGGGTCAGTACAACACAGGTTTTCAATATGACATGGTTCTCCCTGGATTACATTCATGCATGCACACACACGCACACACTAACACACACCTAAAGTCACACACATGCTGTGGAGTTGTGTGGTTGATGCATTGGTAGTTTGATGGTGTGTGTGTGTCAGCAGGTTTGCACAGAGGGCAATCCTGTCAGAGAGGCTGTCTGCAGTCACACCAGTCTGTACACGACGGACAAAGAGTGACCTTCTGCTCCTCTGAAGTGATGATTGTTATGGCAACTCCTCAGGGCAGCAGTGTCAGAGACTAATTAAAAGGTGACACTTAAAACAAAAAATGTGAGTCCACGCTCTTTTGTAGAAGAGACTGCTTAGAAATTGTGGATTTTCATCCTGCAGTTCTCTGTCAGAGAAGGATGCTTGATGATGCAGTTAAGTGTTGAACAAAGACAAAAATAAAGAACTTGAGCATGTTATGTCAGTCCTCTTTCCTCGTGGGTTGGTCTCACTGCTCAGCAGAGCAGCGTGAAAGCCTTGATCGAAGCCACCAAAGATCTTGGAAATGAATGAGCACTCCTTTCTGATCTAAACAGACCCTCGGGGGGGGGGGGCAAAGGGGCAGGTGGTCATGAATTCCTAAGTATGGGGTTAATATTCTGCAATATCATACTGCAAATCCTTGTGTAGCAATAAAAATCCTTGTGTTGCAGTAAAAAATTGTCTTGTTTAAATATGAATATAGTACTGAGTTTCTGCTCTTTAGGGAATCACAGTCTGTTGTGAGGCGAAGGTCTTCCCCTTCACTACAACTCCATGTCCTGAGCCTCGTCCTCCGAAAAGTCTGACATGGAGCTCTCGGAGGAGGAGTCGCCCCCGTGCTCCTCCTGCTCCTTTAGAGCCTCCTCTGTGGCGTACTTCTGGATGTACTCTGAAAAAAGACACATAAGGAGGTGATGTGCTCTCTTAGTCACAGACAACAACATGAAGTACAAATGTTTTACCTCCTGACAAAAACCACTTAAACTCAAGGTCCAATTACTAAAATGTTCTGGTGCTTTCAAACTTATCACACAGTCTACTTCAGTAGAATTTTCATGGAGATATTTGAGGGATAAATCTGTTAGGCTTGGCTTTTGATTCAACAAGGATACAAAGTCTCAAGAGATACTAATGGAAAGTTTGGATCTCTAAATGTTCCAGGCTCCTGAGCAAAATATGCTGAGGAACGTGCGATACAAAATGCATTTTCATGTTTATGTAATTAAAAATAAAATGTGTGCATGAAGCATGTGACCTAAACATCGCTCTAGCTTCACTGTAGAGAAAATAATGGCGGCATACAAAAGCATCAGATTTGGATATTTCTGTGGGCTGCAGGTAAAAGCTCCACAACGTTTTTGTCATCTGATGTTTTCTCCAAGTCTGGTGTTATTTAACTAGTACAATCAATACTTTTGTTACAATATAGCATTTATATTCACGTGCACACATATCCTCTGCAGTATTCATTATAGTGTTGTCTGTTCTTTAATCTAAACTGTTGCCACATCTGATATTCCGTAAATGCAGAAAATATACCCTACCCTAACCATTAACATGTTTTTTTGTATCTCAACCTCTCATCCACCACTCCAGATTCCCAGAGTTAGACACTGGGGTTCTACCTTTGATCTTGTGTTTATAATCCTCCGGCCGGTGCAGGTACATGGCGGCTGCGTCCCCGTTCAGAGGATCGATGGGGTTGGGGTAGGCGAGCAGCTGAGGGAGGAACGACTCAAAGATGTTGGTGAGGTCTGGTGGGGGTGGAGAAAAGATTAGTCAGCACAGAGAATAACAAAACTACAGAGAAATATCAGCCAGCTGTACAAGCTGATCAACACAGAGTCATTCCATCATGAATGTAAAAACAACACGATCCACTAGAGGGCTCTCTTGTAATGAAAGAGAACTGTATTGTTACAAACAGATGTAATGCTGTATTGTTTTCATGTCAGGCATAATCAATCTTAGCAATGGAAGCTGTACTAATCTACAGTTACTTCAACCTTGCAGTATGTATACATTTAGGATGTAGTGTATTTTAGATTTTATAGACTTAAAGAAAACATTGTCTACAGAGCAGCTCCAGGATTTAGACTTATAAGACTGATTTTTGGCTTTAAAAGAGATGAGTTAATCCTCACAAATATTGATTTAACCTCCCACTATGGAAATAACATGATGTAATTGTTAATTTAGATGGTGCACCCTTTAACACTGTTTACAAAAGAGTGGCGTGAGCAGTACATTAGCAGCAGCTTCACTGCACTGTCTGTCTACACAGGATGCGTTCAGGCACAGAGAGTGTAGGTCTCCTGCGTTTCAGCAGCGCTCAGAACTTATCACACAAGGACTTTTAGTCACACTTGGAGAAATGGAAGAAACACTAGAATAGTTATTGGGTTTGGGAGGCTTTCTGAAGATTTTTCGACCACTTTTGTGTGTCTGAATACATCGTTGTCAGCTGTCATTGACGGTCTGTCAGCCTGAAACAACTTTCATATATGTCAAGGTTTTTGTTTGTACGGATGAACATGAATTAAATATCATGTTGAAACTTAATTCAATTATATTATGTTGCTAAGCATTCAAGAACAAGATAATGTTGCTACTTCAAACAAGGTAAACGCTGCATTCTTTTCCTGTTTCAGCTCTTCAGTCTGGTGTCATCATAGCTAAAGATTATTTATCTGTCAGTGCCGAATGCATGGATCCAATAAAAGCAGCAGTTTAACTAGAAAGTGAGATGCTCTGCCTGAAGCTGCACGGGACAGGTATAAGCTGCTAACTTTGTTTAATGGCAGAAGGTTTATCTTCAGTGTGTCAAAGAGCTGTGGCTGTGACCTACCGTAGAGAGCTGTCCATGTCTGGTTAATGACATCTAAACACACAGTTCCTGACCTGAAGAAAAAAAGAAACACTGTTAGTACAACATACAGTGGGGCAAAAAAGTATTTAGTCAGCCACCAATTAGTCAGAACCAAGTTCTCCCACTAAAAAAGATGAGAGGCCTGTAATTTTCATCCTAGTTATACCTCAACTATGAGAGAAAAAAATCCAGAAAATCACATTGTCTGATTTTTAAAGAATTTATTTGCAAATTATGGTGGAAAATAAGTATTTGGTCACCTACAAACAAACAAGATTTCTGGCTCTCACAGACCTGTAACTTCTTCTTTAAGAGCCTCCTCTGTCCTCCATTTGTTAACTGTATTAATGGCACCTGTTTGAACTCGTTATTAGTATAAAAGACACCTGTCCACAACCTCAAACAGTCACACTCCAAACTCCACTATGGCCAAGACCAAAGAGCTGTCAAAGGACACCAGAAACAAAATTGTAGACCTGCACCAGGCTGGGAAGACTGAATCTGCAATAGGTAAGCAGCTTGGTGTGAAGAAATCAACTGTGGGAGCAATTATTAGAAAATGGAAGACATACAAGACCACTGATAATCTCCCTCGATCTGGGGCTCCACGCAAGATCTCACCCCGTGGGGTAAAATGATCACAAGAACGGTGAGCAAAAATCCCAGAACCACACGGGGGGACCTAGTCAATGACCTGCAGAGAGCTGGGACCAAAGTAACAAAGGCTACCATCAGTAACACACTACGCCGCCAGGGACTCAAATCCTGTACAATGTCATCCATTACCACAAGAAACCTACGTTGAGTCGTAAGAAAGCAGGAGGTTTCGTGCAGATCAACTCAAAAAATGGTTTTCAGATAAAACCGAAAGTAAGGACGGTAGTACTGTAAGGAGTGGTTGGACGAAGACTTAGTAGATTTACGAGAGATCGTTTGAAGTCTGTCCGGACCTGTACATGACCGAATTCGTCCCCCTGTGCNCAGCATTCTTTCTCCTCCAAACACGTCTAGTTGAGTTTTTACCAAAAAGTTCTATTTTGGTTTCATCTGACCATATGACATTCTCCCAATCCTCTTCTGGATCATCTAAATGCTCTCTAGCAAACTTCAGACAGGCCTGGACATGTACTGGCTTAAGCAGGGGGACACGTCTGGCACTGCAGGATTTGAGTCCCTGGCGGCGTAGTGTGTTACTGATGGTAGCCTTTGTTACTTTGGTCCCAGCTCTCTGCAGGTCATTGACTAGGTCTCCCCGTGTGGTTCTGGGATTTTTGCTCACCGTTCTTGTGATCATTTTCACCCCACGGGGTGAGATCTTGCGTGGATCCCCAGATCGAGGGAGATTATCAGTGTTCTTGTATGTCTGCCATTTTCTAATTATTGCTCCCACAGTTGATTTCTTCACACCAAGCTGCTTACCTATTGCAGATTCAGTCTTCCCAGCCTGGTGCAGGTCTACAATTTTGTTTCTGGTGTCCTTTGACAGCTCTTTGGTCTTGGCCATAGTGGAGTTTGGAGTGTGACTGTTTGAGGTTGTGGACAGGTGTCTTTTATACTGATAACGAGTTCAAACAGGTGCCATTAATACAGTTAACAAGTGGAGGACAGAGGAGGCTCTTAAAGAAGTAGTTACAGGTCTGTGAGAGTCAGAAATCTTGTTTGTTTGTAGGTGACCAAATACTTATTTTCCACCATAATTTGCAAATAAATTCTTTAAAAATCAGACAGTGATTTCTGGATTTTCTTTTCTCGTTTTGTCTCTCATAGTTGAGGTATACCTAGGATGAAAATTACAGGCCTCTCATCTTTTTAAGTGGGAGAACTTGCACAATTGGTGGCTGACTAAATACTTTTTTTCCCCACTGTATATAGACCCAGAGGATTGGGTGACATGAACATAAAGAGCTTTGCCTCCAAAGTATGAATATTTCTATTTGCTACAGACAGAACGCATACAATTATGAATTTGCATTGAATGGATGCAACAAATATCAATCGAGTATTTGCCATGTAGGTTGCAAAGCTGTAATCGCTGATATCTTAAATACTGTAGGTCAACTTACGCTTCATCAATGTTGGGATGAAAGATTTTGTTCATGAATCCTGTGAACAAAGAAAGGCAGGTTTGAATTGTTGTTCAGTAAAATCTAATAAGTCAGGCTTTGCCACAAGGCTAAATATTAATACCTATGGATGGAGATTTGAAGGGGTATTTATCTGGTAGGTCCACTCTGACCTTCCACACTCCTCCTTCGTACGATGCTGGAAATAATTTGAATTAAAAGAGATGTATCAATAATCCACACTGGAACACAGGATGTTAAAAGTAATGTTTTAACTCAAAAGGAACACTGACTCGACCCTGATGTAAAGCCCCTTACACTGATGTAATGCAGATTAATGAGAGGAAGAATCAATGTAAAAATCTGCAAACTTACATCCAGGTGGTCCGTGGAACTTGACCACAAACTCATTCAGTCCACTCAGGATGGTGACCTCATGTTTGCTCTCAATGCTGACGTGTGGATAAGGAAAAGGGAAAACAAAAACACGAGCGACAGGAGAGGCAGAAACACATGTTCGACAAACATTTATCAAAAACATGCTTATGTGTCAACATTTAGGGTCAAAATGCCTCCGTCTGACTGTAAACTGGGCAGAGGTCAAACTGGATCGATAACATGAGATCAATAATGCAGTGTCAGACAAGCTTAACCCACACAACAGGTAACAGCAAAACAACCTCACACTCAGCACAGGATAACAGCTGATTAAATATGACACTATCTGCCAAACTGTCAACAACCACCAACTACACTACAGGTGACATTGATGATCACAACTTTTCCGAAAATACAGGAAAAGACTCAACTTAATGTAAAATTCAAACTATTCATCCCTACTGTATAATGACACTTTAAAAGGCTAATTTCAGTAAGCGTACATAGAGCTCTAAGGGAGACTGATGGGAAATTTCCTCTGAGTGCAAGTGAAGAGAAGTTGGAAGGAGACTTGGGTGGGGGAGGATGTGTCATAATCACAGTGTGTGGGGACACAAAGAGGCATGAGGCCATCTTAAATGTCTGAAAGCGACAGACAGGTTGAGCGTATTCAGTTAACAACTATTTGACTCTGGCACATTGACAAAAAAAACACAATTGAACTGCTCATCTCCCGGTCAAAAATCTTACAATGCAATGCACATATTCTCATAATATTTAGCATGCCAAAGTAAGATTTAGTATGTCCCAATTTAGAGTATATCAAGTGCAGTATGCCAAAATTACCAGGATGTCCCCCTAAATCTGGTTGCATTTTGCAGAATGCAATGCAGCATGCTTTTATGGCTGTTCGGACCCACAATCCGTTGCACTGCAGATATATAAGCAAGAGGGTTGAATTAAAACGCCTTTACATTTGAAGGAAGTAGTATGTCCCAGGTGACTGGATACTGCATGTATCAGAACATACTGCTTCAGTATTTAATACAAATTATTATTATTTTTAAATATGTGATTTGGAAAGTTACCCTTCCATCACCTCTATCCAAACAATCTTAAATAAAATAATGCTCGGATGCTAATTTAGCCAAACTGCTGGAGCCAAAATAATAACGCAAATAGCATGTTAGGAGAGAAAAAAACTGTAAACCAGAAAAGAAAGCTGGAAAAGCTAGTGACTGAATAGAAAAAGTTTTCAAACCACTGAGCAAGGTTTCTCTTAATATGATCTGAGGCAATGTTTGTCATTAAAAAAAAGCTTTTTCACATACAGGCTTGTTCAGTGTGAAAACTTTCCTTAATGCGATTACACATGGATTCTTCATAGAAACCCAATAATATGCTCACTCGAGAGGAATATAGCTACACAAGGAAAATCCTTTATTTTTAAGAAAAATATACAGTTACCCAGTTTGTAAGTTATTATTAAACCTAGTTTTCAAGACATTTACTTTGTCAGCTATTTTACTATCTGTGCAATTAAACTACAACATTAAACAACAATATATGCAGCATATATATGATCATTCCCAATGTATGCTATAAACTGATGAGTGTGTCTGTTTGTGAGGAAAATAAATTAAACTGACAGCAGGAATGGCAGCTGTGAACTGTCACAGGAGTTCAATCTAACATATTGGATTTAATGGCAGACTATGAAACTATGTCTGGCATCTCCTGTTAAACAGTGGTGTACACTCAGGATTGGAAACTGGTGAAACGAAATCTCCAACAGCAAAACTGATGGATCCTAACATGTTTTTCTCTCGTGCCTTCCACTATCTATTCTTAGATCTCTCATACATACTTTAAAGTGGCATCAATAAAACAAAACAATAATAATAAAAGCAAAAACCATCAGCTTTCTTTGTATTGACCTTTGTTTGCATGTTTTGTGGAAAATTATAATTCGTGCTGGTACAAATAATGACTATGTTTGTTATCATCTCCATGTTTACTAGCTTACCCTCATTTAGTATGCCTGCACTTGAGCATGTTACTTGTCCCTACTGGTAGGAGCACACAAGTATTACAAATCTTAACAGTCTCAGGTGTGGGTCATTATTCATGGGAAAAATAATAATAGTCTCAATGACTTGTTATTGAAGAGATTAAATAAAACATGTAAGGAATAAAAGGAAGGGTACAAAATATTATTAAAATTATGAAAATGACTGACTCAAGGAGCAAACACTTATCTCCCTTACATATATGTCTCCAATACATGTTGGTTTGTATTAAGTCACATGTACTATTATTAAACCAATTAAGTCCACATTGTGTTTTTTTGTAAATTAAATACAATTGTTGCCATCACATACTCAACTATTAAAAACTAAAGCTTTATATGCGGTAATATCTATGCAATCTGTAGTTATCTTTCTTTTTTTTAAATGTGATCAACTGATCCAAATTGTTGCTGATTAGTTTTCTTTAGACTGACTAATGCATTTATCAACATGGTCACCCACTCAGCGTCAGTATATTTTAATGTCCCCCCCCTACCCCCAATGCATGGACAGGATGTCCCGTGCCCCCCTCCCTGCATGCGCCCCTACAGCACGCTTGTTTTTCCTCGATCAGCTGTGTGTGGAGCCCCGCCCTCTACCATGTTCCGGATGGTAACAGTCTGACCAATCAGAGAGCAGCATCTAGCTGCAGGACAAAAACAAAACAATTCTGCTCACGCTGTCAGAAATCCTCATGCAAACTTTAGCTGATAACTGCGAATAATTACCAATAGTACCAATACAAATAAAACATAAACATCATGTGACATCAAAAAGTGGTGAGAAAAAAAGTGTAATTAAAATAAAAACATATCCATTGGCGTTTGCTTCCCTTTTCAGCGTCGTTAAAATTCTATAAAAATATCACAAGTCGTTTTATTTATTTTTGAATCGTTTGTTGAAAACACGCCAATCGTGATTTATTCACTATACATCAAATGTGAGTTTTGTTTATCGACAATATGAAACATGATTTTGTTGTATTGAGACAGCAATTTTGAAAGCACAAAAGGTCAAACGTGGTTATCTAACGTTAATTAATGTAGTTGGCTGTTGACAAAGATCGTCTCCGTTACGCTACATTGACCTTATTTGTTCTCCCTTCGTGGTATCATGCTACACAGCTAGCTCCCGTGACGTTAACGTTGCTAAATCGTGAAAAAACAAACGTCTGTCCAAAGAAGCATTTTCTAAATGCTAAATATTCCTTGCCAGTCTTTCACATTGTGTTGTCAGTCCGGGGGGACCACGTATCATTGCCTAACAGGCTAACTTATCGCTTCCGAGCTAAGGCTAACAACGCTTATAGCTAACACAGAGTTTCCAGCCAGCGTTGTATTGCGACAGATCCCGTTGCTAATTCGATTGATAAAAACAAGAACACCATCGCTTATGTATTAGCAAGCTAACAATGGCGAGTGACTTCACATAAATAACGTTAAATGTGTAGCTTCCTCGCTATACTGCTAACTGAACAGTTAGCTAAGGTGGCTAACGTATGCCAACCCCGCAGAATGTAAGGTTAGACACAGAGCTAACCATTAACATCCAACTGTTTAGCATTACACACTTTTAACCAAATCTATTAATATCACCAAGCTAGAACATAATATACATCATTGTAGCAGCCATCGGGACCAAATACTGTCATATATCAACATAATAGAGCTGACAAATGATTATAAAAGAAGCCTAGTTGTGTATTTAGGCTTGTTTATGTTCAGAAAAGGATACAGTTTCACCACGTCGGTATCCATTCGCCTCTTGCCCGGACTTGGAGACGACATTTTTGTATTCCTTTCAGAAGTGATTTAAAAAGACTGCGACGATAAGGCTACCTCAACCTTTCCGCTTGGAAATTCCTACAAACTCTCAAAAGCCTTTCCTTAATGTCCATAAACAAGATCCTAACTGCAACATCGCCCACTTTTCCTCAGCGGATCTTCAGTGTTTCTGCTCCAGTGTCCTGTCCTGAAGACTGACATCAACCTCCAGCCACCAGACTGCGAGAGGAGGGGCTGAGCTATAGAAATACACCGCACAGAAGAACACACTACACTGTTAGTGAGTCATCAAAGTCAGCGAATAAAAGTGCTGTGATCATACCTTTAAAGATGGAAGTCGATATTTTAAAAAGATGTATGCAGATTTGAGTTTTTTTGTAATCTCATCTGGTGAAATAGTGTGCAAAGTAAAAGTGCTTGCCTTTCTATTAATGCCACATCTATGACAACATGAACTTATAGGAAGGCTGCAAAAAACACTTTAGGCCAAAGTTGTGTCATTTTAGCGTTTTATCTGACTTTACTTAGGTAAATACCCATCAATTGGTGAATAATAAACATGTCTAGTACAGTCAGTAAAAGGACACAATATGATCAAAGTAGACACATAGCTTAATAAAAGTAGCATTGAAACATGTAGCTCACTCAATTGCTAATTTATGAAAAATTAGCAAACCCGCAATAACAAAATATAATTTTTTTCTTTCAAAATACAAGTACTTAAGTATTTGCATCAAAAATATATAACCATATATAAATCTCTGATTATACAATATGGCTAATTCCAGAATCATGAGTGGATTATAACTAGTGAGGCATTAATGTGTTCATAATTTTAATATTGCATAAATGGAGCTGACTCATCACATATTCTGATAGGTAGTCTATAATAATACATTTTAATTCATTAGTTAATTGTATCAATTTGGTAAATCTGTATACAACTAAAGCTGTTAAACATTGTGGAGGAAAAAGTAGTTACAATATCTCCCTCTAAAATGTTATTGAACAGAAGACGGGAGTAGCATAACATAGAAATACTCAAGGAAAGTACTACAGCCTTAAAATTGTACTTAAAAAACAGACTGAAAACTCATCTTAGAGTCTCCTGTTGTCTCTAAGTGTAGAACTTGAGTTTGATCAGCATATTTCATTATTATTGGGGTATTTGATTCTACAACTTTTTGAATTGTACCTGGTGTAATTTCCTTTGCATTAAATTGTCAGATATACATGTAATGCTGGATTCCCAAATCATAAATGCCTTGAGAATCTCACATGACCTCCTCAGGTCATGGGACCATTGCTTGTCATACGATGACAACAACAAGTACAGTGTCAGAAACCTTTGTTTCAATGATGTCAGGTGAGGTTCTCCAGCCGTCTGGAGCCAAGAAGAGAGCCATGAATAAGACTTAAACAAAATGTGTGACAACACAAGAACACACGCATGAAATAATTAATCTGCTCTTATTCCAAGTTTACAGAGCTCTCACTACTCTTTTGTCACATGTTGCACACACTTTTCTGAATATGTTGTGGTTCTGTTCTGTGTTGAGGGGTAAATATTCGTATTATGCTACTTCTTCCTTAAATGTTTGACACTTTGGAATTCAACAAAGCAACCCTTAAATGCTGTCATGCTTTTGTTATTTACATCTGAGTTTGTAAATCTCCATGTTTTTGAATTCAGGACATTGGTGGATTTTAAGTGGTGTCATCTTTGTCAGCGTCTGTGCACAACATTGCTTACCAGAGTAAAACGCTTGTTCAAGCTATCATTTTGTGCCAGTTGGCTTTCCATGTTTCCATCTTAATACAAACAATACTTTGGTTGGCTTAGTTAAAATGGCCTATGTAAATTACACCATTCAGAATAATTTGGTTATCTGTTTGAGTCTCTTCAGTCATGAACAAACAGAAATCATGAATGTAGTACATCTGCCAGTCAGACTTATCACTCTAGATGAGAGGGTATCCAGTGACGACCTCCATGAATCTTTGAGTGGATCACCGGAATGAAACAATGCTGTAAACTCGTCCCTTGTTTAATCTCATTAGCACAGCTGCAGCTTTTTATGCTGTCAGTGACTTTTCATAATAATAACACATGGGATTTGTATAGCACTTTTACTAATGCTCAAAGACGCTTTACATAAAATCAGAAAATAAACATCATAGACTGGCTTCATTTCCTACACATAATCTTCTGGAGGACAAGGTTACATAAACTAAATGACTGATCATCTCCGCTAACAAATAACCTAACATTACTTAAAATTACCACCATGGTACCACCGTGAAGTTGCATGTCAAAGGGAAACTTGTGAATAAACATGGTGGACGACATGGAACTTAAGTTGATTAATTGGTGCATTGTGTGCAGCTACCTCAGCAGAAACAGGCTAGATATGCAGAACAAACATATATTTTATTGTTACAAGTATAGGGTCATAGCGGCAATGTCATTAAATGTAAACATTAACATGACCGCATGCACATTGCAAAAAAAAATCTGCTCCGAAGTGTTTTATTGTAATGTTAAGACTGTTAACTGCAGGTAAACACTCAAGACAAAAGAGATTGTATGATCTACTCTATTCACAATCACTATTTGTTCTGTGAGAGTTACTGATACAACTCTTGCTTACAATTCTAAACTGTAGGCCTACTTTGTTTCACACAGTGTGGGAAAAGCCCTAGCAGCCTCTCATGGGGATTGATCTGTTTTGCCCTTTCATCCTATCCCAATGAGCTTCAAATCAAGATTACCACATGTCAACAAAGCAGCACCAGAAGATCTGGGTTAGAGGTTGATCCTCCAACCATTTGTTCTTCTCATAGTCACTCAACAGTTATCTACCATGTAAAGTTAATCTTGTTTTATATTTTGTAAGCAATTTAAAAAGTAGTGTTGTAAGGTCATTTATTTTTAAGGGATATTGCCACACCATGTACATCCCAGACGTTTAACTATATCAGATTAAGTTATTTGCAGTTTTCTGGCAGAAAATAGACGTAAAATCAGTCTCGGATAATCTACTAATTGTTCATGTGTATTACATTCATTGGTTTACTTATCACATCACTTGGGATCATTTGTTTTATGAGAATGCAAATGTTATAAACTGTAAATTGGACCAGACACAAGCATTCGAAGGCATCACCTTTATTAAATGCTGATGGGAATGTTCATTATTTTTTATTAAAAGTAAATTGTACTTACTTGAGTAACATAGCACTTCTAGCAATGCTACATTAAGGGAGATATCTGAGTTGTTTTACATGTGGCACTAATTTGGTGTAAGTAAATGATTTGTAATCCAAACACACATAGAATGCTAAACCTGCTTCTATATTTAAGCTGTTCTTTAAACATATTCTACATACTGTATGTACACATTCAGGATCGCTGCAGTTTTTCCAAACATGTAAACACGGCCATGTGGCTCTTGAACACGACATGCAGGCTCCCAGTCCTCTGATTCGTCAGCGCAGACCAGCTGCCGGTGGTGGGCAGCAGCAGGTGTGGACGCTCGTTAGTAAGATTTCTTTATTATGCTGTGATTGCCTGTGCTCGCAGCTCCATGCCACTCCGTGTAGTCACACTGAAGCGGGTGTCGGTTCAGGTGTGAAGCCGGTGTGTGTGTGTGTGGCTCCCTGTCGAGATGTCTTCGGCCGAGCAGGACGGGAGTCAGTTCAATAAGTTTGAGAAACTGTCGTGGAGGCCCTCCATCCGCGACTCAGGTCTGTAAACAAACCTTCTGCAACAACGAGCAGCATGTTGTAGACAGCAAAGCAAATCGAAAATTATATTGTAATCCAAGTAAGTATTTTTCTTGCCTTTATGTAGACTCCTGTTTCTGATTTTGTCTGTGATAAAGCGATGTGGCGCACACAGGCAACAGCTAGCTAACGTGCTACGGAAGCCAGTAGACATCAGGGAATTAACTCTCAGCAGGCATCTACAGCGCTATTGTGATAGTTATTCACTTTTAAATGGGGATTAAATCATGGGAGACTGAGGGGTACAAGTATAAGCTTCATGGAGGAGACACTGCTCGGACAACAGTACACGTTGCCTCACTGTTATAATGAAAACAAATATCCATTACTTGCATACGACAGTGAGTTTTAAAAAGTTAATATTATGTAAATTAAATGTCTGAAACGGCCTTTAACTCCAACATGTTTACCCAGAAAACCCCCAGCCACTGCCAATAGACACCCTTTACGGTATCTACTAGTACTAGATAGTACACATTTAAATATAAGACTCAAAAAACGATTTGTATTTATTTCTTATTTCTTCTGAAAGTGTCAAATCTTTCAGATATGCCCCTAATCCAACCTCTGACATGCACCCACCCATTACATCTGAGCAACTTTAACTTTGGACGATTTGAAAATGAAACCTCTGGACATATATTTTTAGCCTGGCTTTTACTTAAGGTTGATCCCCTGAGCCTATTTTTTTTCTAGTGAATTCAAACATTTTATTGTTGTAGTTTTGCTAAAACTTGTATTTATTGTGGTCCATTTTAAATGTGCTCTGCAAATCACTTTGAGGTGAATGATTGTATGAATTTAAGTATTTAAATAAAGTTGAGTTAACTTTATTTTTCTTACCCACTCTTTCTTTTCACTTTTTTATTGTGATTGGCAGGTTCCAAGAAGCGGGCACGGTGGCTTCAGGCTCGACGCATCTTCTCCCCTTCTTGCCCCAACCTTCGGATCCCCAACAGGTTTCTGAGAGAAGGTGCTGTAAATTCAGAAAATAACTGTGATCGATTGACCCCCTCCTGTCAAATGTATACTTAAACTGTAGTTTTGTAAATCCCACCCAGTTGTATCTCTTTAATTTTTGTATGGTTTTATCTATGCTTATACATGCTGTTCAATTGCTCCATTTTCTCTTTCATCCGGCAGTGGCACAGTCAGTAGGGGCTTGGACTGTGAGCCGTAGGGTCGCCGGTTCAAGTCCCTGAACAGACCTATTGGGGGGGGTGGGGGGGTTGTCCGGTGCCTTGCTCAAGGGCACCACGGCAGGGCCCAGGAGGTGAACTGGGACCTCTCCAAGTAGCAGTCCACACTCCATATTTAGGTCTGTTCAGGGACTTGAACCGGCGACCCTACGGCTCACAGTCCAAGCCCCTACTGACTGTGCCACTGCCGGATGAAAGAGAAAATGGAGCAATTGANGTGGGTCGTCACCGTCGATTTTCTTTAAGACTTATGCTCCAACACACAGTATCACGGGGTGCAGAATAGTTTCCCCCCACTTTCGTGAAAGACATCGGGGTACTGCTTTGCCCGGTCTTCAGCAGAAATTTTCATCGGTAAATGAGATGGATCAGATTTTTTCATCTTGGTGTTTTCTCTCGTGTGAGTTCCACACGTTCACTCTACGGTGTTGTTTACCTTCTGTGATGCGCGAGCTGATGACGTCAGGTCATCATCATCACTTCTTCACGTCAAGACGAGTTAACCTTTTTTTTCTCAACTTTGTGTGGAAAAATGCAGGGATTATGCGGCCTTTTAAAAATCTGCGCCATTTTGCTGATTATGCGCCGGTAAATTCTGCGATCGCAGAGTCGCGTTTTTCTGGAGGGTCAAATTCTCAAATGTTTTGAGCTAACGTTTTTTATTTGTCTTACTTCTCATTTAATATGCATCGTGTGTTCTTGTTGCAGGCCACTGGTGTACACAGTGTCTGCCCTCCTACCAATTGCCTACATAATTGGTCTGATATTCACACTGAAGACGCACTCCCACATTTATGACATCCATGTTGGAGGCGGACAGGGTAGGACTCTCCCTCTCGTATTTCACGTTTAAAGGAGTAGGGTTGAATGAGTATCTTATACAAAGGCAGAGAAAAGCAATATACAGGGTTTTTTTCTGTGCTGGCACTCATGTCTGCTTCTCCAAATGGGGTGTGGTCCTGACTGACAATATACTGTACAAACCCACTTCAAAACATATAGCTGTACCTTGAAATATTCCACTAGAAGACAGTGAAAGGTGGTCTAATGCTAAAATAATCTCTTTGCTTGTCTGTGCAGAGAATGGCCCCCATGGAGCAGTGGTCCACTGGTCACGGTGGAGGTCTCTGGTCATCCTCATCATGGCTACTGTGCTCACGTCTGCTTGTGCCGATCTAGCCACCGAGCACATCCAGCCCATACTAAACCAGCCCAACGTCTCTCAGGTCAGGACTTACTTCTGAGCACATGCAGTCAGTTTCGATCTGGTGGTCTTCCTCTGGTCGTATCAACGCTTTTCTCTCCTACAGTATTTCATCGGGGTGACAGTTCTCGCCATGGTGCCTGAGATCCCAGAGATTGTAAATGGGATCCAGTTTGCTCTCCAGAACAACATCAGTCTAAGGTAAATCCTGTCTTTTTTTAAATGGTTAAAATTTAAAAAAGTGATATCTGTACATTCATTTTTTTGTTTTTCAGCTTGGAGGTGGGAAGCTGTATTGCTGTTCAGGTCTGCATGCTGCAGATTCCAATTCTGGTCGTATTCAATGCCTTCTACGTAAGACTCCCTTTCCTCTATGTTCAGTTTAATCATTGATTATTTCATAAAGTACCCAAACTGTTTGCTGTTTTATAGTTTCTGTAATCATCTCTTTTGGACAGGATGTGGGATTTGTGCTGCTGTTCAGTGACATGCACCTGTGGGCCAGTATGTTCAGTGTGATTCTTGTCAACTACATCTTCATGGACGGCAAGTCTGATTATTTTCAAGGTAAGTTTATTTTGATATTTTATGTAACAAACCAGTGATAATAATTCACCTTAAAATGAACCTGTTAACCAATAGTAACCGCTTGATATGTGCTTCCCCCTTTGTGTAATGCAGGACATTTGAAAAGTAAGAATCTATTAGGTCCATACTGGGGGTCCCGCATGTTTGAGATCATTTATTTACAGATTGCTACTGCTCACCGTTTTAAGAGCTCGTCAAAAGTTTTAAGATGAACTTTTATGATTTGAAAACCAACTTGCTTAATATCTACCACTGTTCTTGTTTGATGTATCTTGCCAGGACTACCCTGTGAAATAAACTTTTATTCGTAGTGGTTATCGTCCTGTTTTAAGTCAAATGCACATGCTATTGTTAGATGATTTTAACCTAGAGAACAAATAGTCAGCACACAAGGTTTTTGTGATAAGGGGGTGAATGTGTTTATTGCATTACAAAAACATCAATAGCTGCAACCTTGAATGCACCTAAGAGCCGAGTTAAGTCCTTTATCTCGATAACTTTGCTGATATACTTGAAGAGATTTGATTATATAGCCAAAGATATTCAGACCTATAGTATAGTTAATTTTTTGCATGCCAATTCAGTATGGTGGATTGATTGACTGTAATCTTAACACATTGGGGATCACATCATGTTTAACCCTATGACATGTTACTTTCTCTCCCCTCAGGCACAGCTCTGGTGGTCGTCTACCTCATACTGCTGGCTATGTATTTCTTCGCTCCATCTCCAACAGGCTGCTGACCGTGGGACTTTCAGCCCAAGTTACTTTTTAAAGCCTGAAAGTCATTAGGCCCAATTCCAAACTGCCCTCTTCAACCTACCACTAGACACTTCCTCCCACTTTGCGCATTCACTTCATACATTTTATTGTAATGTTTTGAATATATACACACAGGGACTGTTCCAAAAACTGAGCAGCTTATGAATATCACATTTTCAAACAAAAGTAGTTTTAAGTTATTGTCTAAGAGATCCTGATTTGAAACAATCATGAAAAGTTACAGAATTTTCTGTTACTCCTGGGGAGAGGAGAGATGCCACTGTATTTACACCCTCCACCTGAAAGAAGGGAACCGTTTAGCCGTGAATGAGACTATGCCATCTACCCACTCAGTCAGTGGGGGGGAGTGGGGAGGTTTGGAATTGGACCTTAATGTGAAATGTAAAACCCCTCCCTTTCTGACTACTTTCAGTGTAAATTCTGACAGGTTTTTAGTAATTATTTAAAAGTCCGTACAACCATGCAAATGAATGAGCCTTTTAATATCAGGCAAGTTGCACATCTATACTACTGTAAAATGCAGCGTTTGTAAGATACATTTAACAATGTCTCCTTAAACTCACTCTTACGGTCTTTGTAAACTGAAGAGAACATCTGTATGTTTTGTTTTTTGATCAAATACAACTGAATAGTATATAACGTATCTGCACTAAACCTTTTTGTTTAAAAAAAATAAAAAGGTACTGGTATAATGTTTTTTAGACTTTAACTCCAAAATGTGACATTTTAGATAAAACACTGGTACCCTATATATGGAAAGAGTGGCATGGCTGGCTGTGCTAGCTAGAATAATAACTCTCGTCAATACAACATTTTGAAAAACTGTCTGCCTGTTTTTATTGTTTGTACAGACAGGACCTGAAAAATATATGTACATTACAGCCATAGTTGCTTTTGAGAAGACATTCACCTTTTCTCCCGAGAATTTATGTAAAGTGACATGCACACCATACCGACATGCAAAGGAGATCATTTGACTTTCTTTGAACATCAAAAATGATGCCAATATAAGCATGTCAATATTATGCAAGGCAGTCGATTTTACAAGTCGGAGCGTGTAGTGAAGCTGTTTCTTCATAAGAAGATATAAATAAGGCAAAAATAACAATTAAGGTAGATATTTGAAATGAAAATGGGCATTATGATAGTTAGTTATAGATGAGACTAGCTTCTGTTGACATTTTGATCAAAGCATGCCACATCCTGAGTACGCCTCTTACCCTACCTTATTACAAGTCCCATGCCTTGTTCTTTTTAGAAAAGGCACCATAGCACGTTCTCTGGAAAAACGACACGAAAAAGAAAATTCCGACTATGTGTAAGTATAAAAGCGTTTGAGTTTAGGCATCAAGGGGCAGTGAAACGAGAATTCATTAAAACGGAAATGTAGCTACATGTTCTGCAACAAAACAGAGGCTCAAATAAATAGATTTCTCTTTTAACTTTGACTGCATCTCCAGGAGCAGAAAGATTCAGCAACAAAAGGCTCATTTGGAGAACGCCAGGTAGATCACATGGGAAAGAAGGCTTTGTGTGCACAGTTCAGAACAAATGAAGATCTTACTACACACACATTCAAGTGTTAAAACGGTGTAACAATGCAGAAGGCACCAAATGTAGAACTGAAAAGTGCATGAGAATCACTGCGGCTCTAAAAGTGAATTCCTTCATTTCCAACTTAATTAAGCTTTATTTTTCCTTTAAGAGGAAGAACAATGGAAGAGGCACTATAAAGCTTCACAGTGATGCCATGATGAGTTAAAAAGGCTTTAGAGTTATCTGATCCTAGGGCCTAATGTGACATTTTGGAACATTTTTAAATCTGTACAGTAACAATCACAGCTAAATGTCAGAATTGGAAGGCCTTTGAGGCTAAAACATAACGCCTTTAATAATTGACCTCATTAGACTTTTAAGTATACCAGTCAAAGTGTCCTCTCTTTTAAAATAATCTGACTGATTACTAAAAAATGTAATTTGATATCAGCACTGTTACAGTCATCTTACCTATGTGACAGTGGGTGTAGCACCAGCTGACTTATCACTTCAGCAACAGTGACACAAGCTGATCAGTCTGACTTTGATCTAAAATGACATCAACGCAGGCAAATTAATTTACCCTTTTAAGAAGGTCTTTGGATCATTTCAATGTTCCTGCTTTAACAGCAATGTGGTAAAAACACAAAAAACTGGGGAATGCACTAGATAGTGTATCCGAAATGACAAGAGCTAAGCAAAAGAAGGAGTGATTCTGGTGACCATGCTTATCCATGGTGTCAGATGCACGCAGAACAAAGTCTGACAGCAAAACATCCAAACATTGCATTTTGCCTAAAAACAGAAAAAAAAAAAGAAAAAAAAACTCACATTTACATAAAACTTAAGTTAAAAAGGCATTAAATGTTTTCCATAGTCCTCTGACATCAGCCTCTCTTGGTCCTTTAAAAGAAAAGCGTTTTTTGCCTTCAGTGTTTTTAGAGTCAGTGCTGCTCCGTCACATACCGCTTCAGTTGCTCCGTCTATTTGAGCCGCTGGATGAGTGTGTGCGTCAGTCCCAAGCCGAGCAGCTGAAGGCTCGACAGCTGGGCCAAGTGAGGGAACGTTTTTAGCAGTTTCTCCCAGGTCAGTTCCAGCAGGCTGGGCACCACCAACCACACTTTGTACAAAGAGCCGGACCTTCGGTTCCCAAACATGTTGACGACGCCGCCATGGACGTACATGCAGCCAGCCTGGAAGGGGGAAAGTTGCATTAAATAGAGCAGCAGCAATTAGTTGATTAATACATTTGCAGACATACATTTAGTGAGCAACCATTTTGAAAAAGTATTAAATATTTCAGCATTTTTTTTTAAGCAAAACAACCAAATATTCTGTATCGTTGGGTTTACTAAGAACATATACTGCTTCTAGATTATTCTAATTTAGAGCAGCATAAAATAAACAGACATAAGGATGTCGCTCTAGGATCTGGGAAATTGAGGTGGACATTTTGTTTACCATTTTCTGGCTACAGACTAAACAATTAAAAAAACATTTAGAGCTGCAGATGACTTGATAAAGACAATACAGATAAGCTGCAGCCCTACAGCACAAAAAGACGAGTGTCTGTCTCACTCGTGCAGAGGAGAAGTCTACAGCCCGAGTTAGAAGTAGAATGTTTGAATGATCGATAACTCACCGGAGTGACGGCAGCGCAGTGAAAGTAGGCTGGTTCTGGCATGGTTGCCAGCAGCTTGGTCCACTGGAATGTCTGCAGGTTGATCTTCCACAGGTCAGATAGGATCAGCTCTCCATTATAACCCCCACATATAAACACCTCTGGAAGTAGAAACAGAGCGAAACTTATATTTAAAAGAAATAAACCTTTCAGTGTATCCAGATTATGCCGTGTTAAAAACTCCTTACCATCTTTGACCTGCACACAGCTGTGACAACGACGGGCAGCAGGATATCCTGTTATGACAATTAAATTAGGTAAATTCAATGTGTGGTGACTAAATACTTTATTCACCAAAGAAAAATAAACAAAATACAAACCTATTTTTTCATGGGGTTTGGTGACCATTTCCTCCCAATAATTTGTCTCCAAGTTATATGCGTGAATCTGATGAAGATAAATAGTGTTAAAAATGAGTTGCACATGGTTTCTCTGAAATATGTTGGTCTATGCATCGTCCCCTCACCTTATCCATGGGATATGAAGTCCAGGAAGTCCCACCTCCTAAAATGTATATTCTCTGTCCATCATGAGCTAGTTCATGTCTGTACCTGTGAAACCATGCATTCATTTTAGTCTATTTTAATGAAAATGTGGGATTCACGGTCACACACTGTAGTTGTTCACACTATATCTGCAGTCTGACCTCTCCTCAGGAAGATCTGAGGGTGTGTTGTTGGGTTTGAGGTGGGTCCACTCTCTGGTGCTCAAGTCCAGCCGGTGCAGGTCAGTGCTGTAAAGGTAGCCTGTTGTCCCGCCAAACACATAGAGGTAGCCATTTATGATGACCATCGCCTGGGAATGGAGAACAACATTTTAGGACTCAAGCTTTATATCCAGACCAGATTAAGAGAGACGGACGCTGTCACCTGTCCGTAGATCTTGTTGGGTTTCTTCCCTTTGCAGTTGAGGAGGTTCCACCGTTTGTACTGAACATTGCAAACATGGACCTCGTTGCCGTTGTTTTCCCCAAATGGAATCCCAGTGCCACCAAACACAAGCAGGTTGTTGCCGTGTAAAACAGCTGAGAATGATCATTGCTAAACAATTAGTAAATTTAGCTATAAAGTTGTCAAACATAAAAATGCTACTTGCAATAAACAAACAGATATGAATTAGTATTTTCACAGAATGAATGTAATTTAACAACATGTCACTATATTCAAAAGGTGCAATTTTGCAGTCTTTCACTTTTTATCTTGCAATGACAATGAAATAGTATGTATACTCGTCAGCCCAAGTCTCTACTAAAGTTAAATAACTTGTTAAGAATGCCTAATAAGGTTGGTTCAAATCTACTTACTGATCATTTCACATTTCCTGAAGCTTTCAGTTGCAGCTTTAAAAATTACAGTATTAATAAGCATGACATTGTAACATGTAGACCACTAGAAACATCACTAATGCAATGGTTTGAGGAATTGGTCCCTTTGTTGTTTATACAAATATTTACCCTGTGTTTGGCATGTGGTAGGCAGGCACCATTGTTTTTTGGTGCATTACTGCAACTTGAATATTTTAAAGCCTTTAGCATGAATCTGTGTTGCGTCACCTGAATTCAAATATGTCATAAAACGTACACTCCATAGTCCCATATAGTGGTGGTCATAAATGCCAAAGGGTACCTTTAGTAATAATGGTAGGTGGTTCTAAAAAAGGAGAACATGTGTGTGCAAGGGAGCAGCATATCAATCTTTACCTGACATAGAAGCCAGCTCTGTGGGCATGTAACCCTCTGTGCGTATCTGCTGCCAGGTGGCCGTAGCAAAATGAAACTTCCAAAGCTCCCTGAAGAGAGGGTAGTCCTCATTCTCGGACCCCCCTCCCTCCTCAAAGTCAGGGTTGTAGCCTCCAAACACATACAGGTTGGTGCTGTCTGCAACACAGCGGTGTCCGCTGCGGGCGGGGGGTACACAGAGTCCTGTGGGAGGAACATGGTCAAGACACTGAGAGAATAGAATCGGAGGGATGAAGCCCCTCTTTAATAGTCACACATGCAGAACACAGTGAAATTTGGCCTCTGCATTTAACCCATCCTAGTACCAGGGAGTCCAGTACTAGGATATTTAACTTTTATATAGACTCGTATTGCACATTCCTATTGTATTACTTATAATGTATTTAATATTGTCTGCTTATCTGTATATTGTGTTGCATTGTTGGAGAAGCCTGTGACCTAAGATTTTCAACGACATAATTACTCTGTAGCTATGTTAGTTTGACAATAAAGAACCTTGAACCTCTGGCTTTTG